ATACCAGAGCGATTCCAAAAATGTATTAATATACGGGGTGTTCCATTTAAAAAAATATAATTGCTTGGACTTTTTGATAGAAGTGGCAACGCCGCAATGCTGAAAATATTTTAGATCGATAGAACAGGTAAGGAAATGTGAGTGTTGAAATTTTCAGGAAAATCGCTTTGCGTTTTCCATAAACGTCTAACATACCATCGACCGTGAGTCACGCTGTATTTTTGTCATATATATCAACTAACATTTGATGCATTTGCTTCAATTCATTTGAGAACCATAGATTTGAGAACCATAGCACAAATTTTTGATTTAGTAAGTTAGAGTCGTGAACTTCAGCCCAATTTTCTGAACTCGAAATATTTCTGAAAGTAGTTAAATTATTGAGAGAAAAATTCCGCTTCCTTATACCTATACTCAGCTTTACCTCTGACTTTTTGTATTTCAAAACAACATTGCTGCAATGTNGAGAAATTAAACTTTTTTGACGATTTCAGACAATCAGAATTCTCTTCAAGTTATGCATGTTGGAAAATCCCAACCTTCTCCTGGTTCTTTCCCTTTTCTTATAATCTCTCCTTTTCTTTTCTTTCATTTTTATTTTTTACATTTTTATGCATTTTTTTACTATTATTTTTTTCTATCTTCATGGCCCAAAATTTCCCAACTTTTCCCAACTTTTTCCCAAGTCGAAAGAGCAGGAGGGGAGGCCCCCCCCATCCCTCCTATGGCGACGGCCTTGACTGGAGTTCGTGTCTCCAATCTCAGTGTTTTTGCAAGGGTGAGTCACAAGGCCTGTTCTGGTTCTCTGTCCGGACTGTTCCTAACAGTCAGAAAACAGTCTCCCAACTGAATACTGAACATGTTGTTGCGTAAACCTTTTCAGTCCACAACTGAGTCACTGATTTTGGACGATTCGAAACAGTAAAAACTGAGAACCAGAACAAACCTATTGTTGGCGACTTGGAAGTATTTGGTATAGTTTGTTTACCATTTTTTTGTTCTTGGGTTTTTTGTAGTTAAGATTTAAATTATCCACCTGCTCTTTTTTGCTATCTTTTTCGTGCATTGATTCAATGTAAGTGTTCAATATTTTTACTTTTTCCCGTAATTCATTTATTATGACGTCCTTCTGTTTTAGAATATATAAAAATGTAATTGAGTCCAGCTTACTATCATTTCCTGAGAGTTTGCCTACTGCATCACAGAATAGGTTATCCTCGCCTTGATTATATTAATAGGCATATCTGTATCTATCTCATGGAGACATTTAGGGTTTTTCGTTGAATTTGCTTGTTTTAGACACCTAGGGTGATATATTATGATTACATTTTGAACACAAAACTTTGTCTTTCACTATTTGACATCCACAGTATTTGCACAGTTTCATCGCAATTATAATCACTTTCTTTTAGGAGATGAACAGACGAACCTCCGCTGGCCGCCATTACTCGTAACAGTACATTACTCGTAACACTGACATTTGTCAATTTCAATAACTAAAAAAGAATTAGAAAGATTTCAACTGGCGACTACGTCTCAATCAATGCATTTTCTGCATCACTGTCACAAAGAGAAAAATACAGCTTGTCATTTTTTATCAGAATGTGAGTCCCTGGTTCATAACATCGAGCCCAGAAGAATATGATATGCATCCGAAAAATGGATCAGTACAAATTGATATAGAAACCAAAAAAAGTTGCATTGGGTCTCGTCAAAGTATGAAAATATCCCAAGTGTTTCAATGCAGTGTTTCAGGGATATTGAAAACAAATCAATAAGGCAGACGATTCTCAAGAGAGGAAAAAGTCTTATCGCACCCACTTGGATCCCTTCACTAATTATTTAGTATTTTGTATTTGCAATGACTTAGGTACACAACTTATCCGATAACTCACGAATATATCAAGTTCTTTATATTCAACTGAAACGAGGTTGAGCAAATCGTTTAGAAGTGTTCAATGTGGAAGAGATAGATGCTTCTTGGTATATAAATATATTGAATTATTTGAATGAATAAAATTTCTCGGTAGCAATTAGAAAATGATTCGAGTATGTGTTGAAATACCGAAGGAGTCAGGTTCTGATATGATTCATGAAAACATCTTCAGATATTATAATCACCACTTCCAAAATACAAATCATGAAATTATAAAACAACAACAAACGTTAATTGTCGTTCCGGGGCGATTTCATTGATTGCAGTGGCGCATTTATTTTTTCAGCTGCAGGAAAACCCGAAAAAACCTGCAGCACCACATCATCTGAAGATCTTGATCCGCCAATGTCCTCTCTCTCATAAAACAAAATGTAGGATGTCTCCAGAGGCTCCAATAAATTCAATATATCGCCAGAACACTTTTCAAACAAAGATTCAGCTTTTGTGTATTAACTGAACTATTGTAAAACAAATTGAAAAGTTTGCAACACAGTTAATACGAAATTAAAAAAAAACTTCTCAATATAATTTAGTCACCATATATATGTCGGATCGGTTATAAATTGTAAACACCTAATTTTTCGATAGACAGAAAATGTAATTCCTTTTCAAACATTATTATCCCTATATCCAGGCCATCTCAGTTGTCTTTGTAATAGTCCGATTTGATGAAATTCTAAATATTTAAACTTTATAACTTTGTTGTTTTGTTTCAGGACAGTTCAAGAATCACCGGAAACAGCCTTCATTAATCGTCTGGATTCCTCATCAAACTTGAGAAGAGCAAGAAGCAAAAAGTAATTTTTTATGACAGTTATCAACAGTATCATATTATCACAAGCTGGTGATTATGGTACTTTTGAAATCCAGCGATATTCAATGAATGTAGAACGTTGAATACTCAGAGATGTTAAAACTTGATTTGTTCTTATTATGATTTCATGAATATTCTAATTTTTTTAATTTTCTTATAACTTCCATTGTTCATTCACTCTAGACATAGAAAATTCAGTCTAGAATTTATGATGAAATTATTGTTGAGATATTAATATTATTGAATTTGATTCAATTAATAATTTTTGAAGGGATGGGTAATCCTCTCCTCCGGGAGAAGGAAATATTAAGAGCAGATAGTTGTTGGTTCACAGATGGATCAAAAACACCTTCCGGTTCCGGTGCAGGTGTTTTCAGTCCCAGACCAACGACAGAGATATTATCTTGCCTACAAACCTATGCGACTGTATCTCAAGCGGAATTTTACGCTGTTGAATTGTGTGCGGAAGACTTAACAGATTGTCTCTGGTCTGGATTCCTGGATATACTAGCTGCTGACTCCCTTGCAAAGGAGGATGCTGCAAGCAGCTTCATCGGACCAGAACCAGTTATTGGCATCGCTTAAGCTTTACCAAATAAAGATTGAACACCTGGAATTTTTTAATTCTAATATATCAAGTCTCTTGTAATAAGGTTCAAATAATGAGAGCAAACAGTAATCTATTTTTGGTGGGATTGGAGAAATAAAGATCAAACGAGATCGGTCCAAGTATATAGCCTTGTGGTGGTCTTTGACAAAGGTTCGGTTAGGTTAGGTCAGGTCGAAAGTGACTGGGCCTATTTGACCATTCACCCCAACACGCACGGGTTTATTGTGGCTCACACCTATTCACACTCGACCAAATATATCCAGCTTCTTAACGAAGCCGATTAGTTTNATTCTCTGAATCACAGCCACCCTTTTATTCTTCACTCGTGTCGCTTTCATACTTTCCACCGCCATGGCGGAGTCACTAATCACTCTAACATTCTCATTCATACCCCTCATATCTATCACTCTGTCTGTCGCAATCAGTTCGGCTTCATTCACGCTTCTCTGTCCAGGAATCCCTTCATTTCCTAGAACCCATTCACCCCCATTCCTTTCATACGCCCAACCTATGCCCATTCTTTCCTCGTCCATCCTCGCTCCGGCATCTACATACACCTCAGTCATCTCCTCGTTCTGCATCTCCTCCAGTAACTTCCCTTGCATCCAAGGGAGTATCTTGCCTATAACTTTCATTCTGTCTTCAGTCCTCCTTTCACCATTAATTCTCTACTCATGGTATCTGGCCCCAGCTTCAATATGAAGTGGGGCTATACCTGAGATCACACTGAGCGCGGCCGACGGCGCCGTCCTATAGGCCCCACATGCGGCTATAAGAAAACGCTTCTGCGCCGCGCTCAGCTGTCTCCTAACTCTACAATCGTGCACCCTACTCCCCCACACTTGCACGTCATACATAGCTGCAGGTATCGCTACCCTTTCATATATGATTCTGACACACTCTTTCTTCAATCCAATATTCCTCCCGGTCCATCTCCTCATTTTCCCGCCAGTGTATTCAGCTTTTTTCATAATTTTCCAAACTGTATTCCAACAGTCAAAATCTCTGCAAATGATGATTCAGACGACAGTGACCTGCAAGAAGGCCTATTAGATATCGCAGTTCATCCCTACCGTAGTCCAACAACTGTTCGGTTTTAAGCTTCGAAGGTCAAACAAAGGCCTTGCAGTATGCCTACCTTGGACGATTTTGCCAGAAGTCCATCCAGGTGTTCAATACCTGTTTGGCAAAGTCTAAATCGATGCCAAACAAATATTGATGATGATGATGCTTCCAGCAGCCTCCTTTGCAAGGGAGTCGGCAGTCTCATTGCCTTCCAGGCAAGAATGGGCAGGAATTCAGACCAGGGAGAAGGTGAAAAGGGATGACAAAGTCCCATCAAACGTAACTCTGTGAGTTCTTTCTTCAAGTTGGCAAACAAGGTGATAGCTGAAGTTGACATACCGACGTAATGCAAAATTGAAATCAATAAATCGCGGTTTTTGTATCAACGGCCCTGCTGAAGTCCTCTATTTAAAGCAATTGTTTTTATGTTATGACAGTTTTTTTAATCTGTATTGTGAGGTGTAATCTGAAACTATTATCGAATCAATTTTCAGAACCCAGACTTGAGTTCATTAAAAATGAATGCAAATTAGTACCACACGATATAGTTATTCATGTATCAAGGGAATTAGGAGGGCCTTAATTACCGATGGCAAAGTTTGCGTCCCGAGGGCCTCTGGCCCGAGGGACAGCAATTGCCTGAGGTTATTAAGGCTCATTAATTCCCGTGGTACATAGATAATTTTATTTCTGACCGATTTCAATAAAATTTTGTTCATTTTTGAAACGGAAAAATGTACCAATTCATTACCTTCCCGGTATATTTGAATCAGGTACCGTTGATTATAGTAGAGTTTTCTTGTTGCTAGGTTGTTGCTATGTTACTTNAGCCAGGAGGTTTGATATAAGCTTATAATATCCCGGTCAGAAATAAAAACATATTTCCCATATTTTTGTTGAAGTCAAGGTTGTACAGTGCTACCATTTTCCATGATTGTTTCGTTGCACAACGAACACTCATTCGAGTTTCTCACGTAATAGCGATCAATAATAATGATTTTATTTGCAGTAGTTTTAGTTGCAGTGTAAAATGGTTACGTTCACTTACAGGAAGAATAAATTGAAGAGAAATGTTATCGGAGCCCTCGTCTTCGTGGCACTGATAATAGTGGTCGTCGTTTTAGTTGTTATATTCACGAAGAGAAAAGAACAATTCAAAGGCAGCGTTGTTACCAGTGGCCATGGATGTTCGGATATAGGAATGTAAGTGAATATTTTTTGATCAGTTATTTATTCCCTTTGCTCAATTACGAGTATTGTTATTCTTCATTACATTATCCGATTAAATAATAAAAAAGAAAACGTATAAATTTTACTGTCAAAACATGTCGATATTCTCATTGAAATTTTCGTATTTATTTTCAATTTTACATGGGAAAATGCAATGTTTTTTGATTTTGAAAGAAGTACAAAGTGTGGTTGAGGATAAGAATTTTATTCAATAAGTTCTAATAACCTTTTTAATTCAGATATCGTATAAAATTATCTTTAGTATTTATGAAAACTAGACTCACGAGATTTTTGAATTAACGGTATCGCGAGTGAAACATCGAATAAAATGAGCAGGAATTTTCTGGTTTTGTTCAGCTTTATAGCTTTTTGATAAAATTTGTGTAATTTGTTGTTTTCTTAGCACTTTGTGATTTTCGAAGGGGTATAACAATCCGATAAAAGATATTCTTCAATGTGGAGAGTTCTGCGTACGTAAAACAAGTTTGAATTCTGAGTATATGTACTTTGGAAAACGATATTCCCAAGTTCGAATATTCATATCTGATAATGACTACACTGTTAATCAAAACTGAGTTTATATTTCGAACGTGACAATAAAACGTTTGTCTAATGATAAGTATGATGAAAACTACATTTCCCATGTAAATATATACATTTTTTGTATACGTATGCTTCGCTAATCAAATGGAGATATCCGACTTGTAACCTTGAAATGGAAGAAAGAAGAGTTATCAGTTATTCGAGTAACAGTTTATTATTAGATTTTTACTGAACAGTATTTTTAAAATAGTAATATTAACAGTTTTTTCGTATTTTCGAAATAGTAATAATAACACGAAGAAACTACTTTTCAGCGAAACGATAATAATCGTATAAGTTTTGTGGTAGGTATGTTTATGAAAATTCATTATTACAGAGCCCTGGAGAAGAATTCAATTAAATTCGAAACGTTGGCAAGAAAACACATTTTTTTAAAGAAAAAAATTGATCCTGTTAACCAACTAATCTTTCGTCAGTAAAATAATAATTCTAAATTACAACTATTTTATACTGTGACATATTATCTACTTGTATGCCTACTTTCTAATGAATGAATCTACTTGAATATGTCAGGTGAAAATTCATTAACAATTCCTAGTTCGAAGAGTTATAGAACTTCAACCTACTTAGGCCAACTCACTACGAATATTTAAAATTTTCTCCACAAAAAAGGTGTGAATATTGCTTTCAAAACCAACAATAACTCAGGCATGCACTTTAGGAATAATAAAGATAAAAGTACAGTTTCAGAAAAATCGGGAGTGTATAAATTATCAAGTGGGTCATGTCCGATATTTTATATAGGTCAAGCTGGAAGAACGTTTAAAACCCGCATAAGGGAATACGGAAATAGTTTCCAGAATGGAAAAAGAAATTCCACATATGCCACTCATTTTATCGCAGAGTGACATGAGTTCAACCATGGATTCAAGCCCCTCCATTTCCAGAAGAAGGGTTCAAAAGTTAACCTGTTGGAGAGTATGGAAATGAACAAATTTAAAAAAACGCTCAATATCTTATGAACTATCAAACTGAACTGAATAATTTGCCATTATTGAATCTGTTTATTTCCAGGTATCAAAAGTTGAGTATTATTACGGTACTTTCAAAAATTTAAATATAATCATATAGTTAATGAACTTATACCTGACTTTCTCAGGTTGAAACATTAATTAGAAAGTAGGTATACAAGTAGATAATATGTTAGATTATAAAATAGTGCAGCCAAGTGTTGCCTATCCTTACACTTGGCTGCACCATACTGATGATGGACCATACTGGACCATACTGATGATGGACCATACTGTATATGTATGTATATGTTCAACATATGTTTTTCCGTTAACCAGGTGTCGCACCCTTACGAACGACAACACTTAGAAGTCGAAACTTGGGTTCAGATATCATTTACATTATCAATCTTTAGAGGACCGTAACTTAGAAAGTGCTTCGGATCAAGTTTTTGCTCTACAAAAGCACTAATAACAATTCAAAAAAATCATGCCAACTCAAATAATACTTATGCTTATCATGAATCAATGAAGTCGCTCCGGAACGCCAATTAATTTTTATTGTTGTTTTTATTTTTATCGTTGTTTTATAATTTCACTTTATTTCTTATGCTTATAAGTATCACAAAATTTTTATTTTTGAAAAACGTTAAAAATGTATAGATTTATGATGATTTGTCCATAACAACCCTGTCTGGTATGATGTATGATCTAACTTTTCGAAATCCTGAAAGACGTCAACGACTGGATTGAAATTGGGTGTAACTTCGTAAGAAATATTATTCTTCAATGTGGAGAGTTCTGCGAACGTAAAACAAGTTTGTATTCTGGGTATACTTTGGAAAACAGTATTCCCCAGTATCGAGTGGTATTCCCAAGTTCGAATATTAATATCTGATAATGACTTCACTGGCATTTATTTTGCAAAGAAAAGTCGAATACGTCGAATAATTGAACAGTAGATAAGCTGTCAATCAAAACGGAGTTTATACTTCGAACATGACAGTAAAACCTTGTTAGGAATCACACGTTGAAAGGTAATACCTCGTTAGTCCTTGGCTCGCACAAGTTTCGACTTCTGAGGGTTGTCGTTCGTAGGGGTGCGATAGCTGGTTACCGGAAAAAACATGTTTTAAAAATACAACACAAGAATTATCAGTTATTCAAAAAATACTTGTGAGATTTTTCTGGAGAGTTTACAAAACCTCATCACGTTTTTTTACTATACAATAACTTCCTTAAGTGTGTTGCAGTTTTGTAAAGTGTCTTGTGAAAATCAAGTTTTGGCCAAATCCATCACATATGTTATTAATTATTTCATCCGTGTTATCAGGTTAACCAACATAAATATGTAGTGAAGAAAAAGTAGGGATTATTCCAAATGAGTGAACGTGTACCTGGCTGATTTAAATCATATTCTTCATTTCTCAGATAAAATTATTTCGACAGGACTGCAAAACTGACTAGAAAATATTCATGGGGTTATACAATACATTTTATTAAGTGTTAAATCTAAAATGCACCAAGTTCAATCAGTTGAAATGTCTGCAAATCCATAATTTTCCTAATTTCACTAAGCAATTGACTTGAGTATATGTTATTTTGATCAAATTTTGAAACCGTAGGATGAACTATTTTTAGAAATTCACTGATAGAGAAATGAAAATTATGAATGCATTAATTGAGGAATTCTGAACAAAAATCTTCAGGTGGTCAGATTTTAGTTCAAAATGACGTTGAAAATGAACATCAGAAGAAAAAAATAATTATCAGACTTGAAAAAATGGCATTTTCTGCCTTGGATTACCAAGCTGTAATAATTGTGAATGGGACTGATTTATTTTCAACTTGTTGATTTTTCATATCCACAACCGATATTTCATAGTATCAAAACTCAATATCTAAAGGGTAACTTATATAGGTCCATCAGAGGAAAAATTACACTGGGCGGCCCTATTTAATCAATTTGATTTTCAAGAAGAATATTCGATATGTAATTACAATCCCTATGAAACTTAGGGGTAGAAATCCCTAAAATTTGTGATTTGATGCCGGTGTCTCAATCAGGTTACTTACCAGGTCTAGCCCTTTCGAAAGGGCTACTCCAATGCAAATACTGAGGGTCTTCAGGTCTTGGATATTTATTTATATCCTGGGTATTTATATCCTTCAACAGATGAAACGGACCGGTAGTGAGAGGAAGGGTAAGGTTGGGAGTGTGACTTGTAGAAGTGTGATGTTCAGACACAATCTAGAAGGATGTTATGAGATGTCAGTGTCAGTCCTCGCTTTGCGAAGACCAGTGATTAGACCTGGAAAGTAGACAGAGATCTTGGTGTCAAGTCACCGAACCCTATCTGTAGGCAGATTGAAACCATTGCGAAGACCAGTGACGAGACCTGGAGAGTAGACAGAGATCTTGGTGTCAAGTCACCGAACCCTAACATAAATATGTAGTGAAGAAAAAGTAGGGATTATTCCAAATGAGTGAACGTGTACCTGGCTGATTTAAATCATATTCTTCATTTCTCAGATAAAATTATTTCGACAGGACTGCAAAACTGACTAGAAAATATTCATGGGGTTATACAATACATTTTATTAAGTGTTAAATCTAAAATGCACCAAGTTCAATCAGTTGAAATGTCTGCAAATCCATAATTTTCCTAATNTGATTAAAACCATTGCGAAGAGCAGTGACGAGACCTGGAGAGTAGACAGAGATCTTGGTGTCAAGTCACCGAACCCTATCTGTAGGCAGATTAAAACCATTACGAAGACCAGTGCCGAGACCTGGAGAGTAGACAGAAATCTTGGTGTCAAGTCAGCGAACCCTATCTGTAGGCAGATTGAAACTTGCGAAGACCAGTAACGAGACCTGGAGAGTAGACAGAGATATTGGTGTCAAATCACCGAACCCTATCTGTAGGCAGATTAAAACCTATGCGAAGACCAGTGACGTGACCTGAAGAGTAGACAGAGATCTTGGTGTCGAGTCACCCTACCCTATCTGTAGGCAGATTGAAACAATTGCGAAGACCAGTGACGAGACCTGGAGAGTAGACAGAGATTTTGTTATCAAGTCACCGAACCCTATCTGTAGGCAGATTAAAACCATTTCGAAGACCAGTGACGAGACCTGGAGAGTAGACAGAAATCTTGGTGTCAAGTCAGCGAACCCTATCTGTAGAGTGTAGTTGAAACGTCAAACAACTGAAAATTTTAGACGCGGTTCAAATTGAACTAAAGAATCTTTTTAGCTGATACCACTATTGCTATCTCGGAAACTCTAGGTTCTACAAGAACGATTAAATCCGTCTTGCATCCCTCTTTAGATATACAAAGTCACCGACCGTTTCCCAGATATTTGTTAGAAACTGAAAATGACGATTTTGTTTTTGCTCTACCGCCTCCATTTTC